CTGTGTATTTCAGTCTTTCAAAGAGCAGCACTCTGACATTCAATCAGATTAAAGTATTCTCTCTTATTTCTTTTTGGCAAATGTTGGGAGCACATTTGTACAATCATACCTTAAACATATTTCTGTGTTGTCATTATATTTTGCATATTAGTAGTTTTTATATCTGCTTTGCAAAATATTTTCATATTGGTATTAATGTCAAAAGCTGTCCCAATATGTTTAAAGACTATGTTACCCCAAATGTCATATGTGTCTGTTGTACTATGTACTTGTATTGCTTCCTTTGTGTGAAGTACACCTGGTGATCGTGACTACTCATCTGCTTTCCTATTTAAAACTGACCACACTATGCATAGAACACGTGGTTAGTTTTCTGGCTGTGCTGGGATAACAGCCTGTCTGACACCCCCCCCCCCCCCCCCCATCCATTGGGAAGATCAGTGTATTGCTCTTTCTCCATCCTTACCTCTCCAAGCCCCTTATGTACCCTAGAGAAAAGATTACTTGATCACTTAATTCAACAAAAAAGAAAGAAAAAAAAAAAAGGTAGTTATATATTTTTTACTATTTACACAAATGCTTTGTCTTACATATACAAGGTTAGGGTTCATATATGCTTTAGGGTCATACCAATTCATGTTATACTGTACATGTAAGTACCGCATGAATCCGGAGAGCAGGATCTAGTATAGTCATGTACCTCTAATGAACAAGACAAAAGTGTAGGTACCAGCCCCCTTAGAACCAGTAACACAGTTTTATTATTATTCTCACTGCCCTAAATTATTGAAAGCTAAAGTTAACATCATTTTAAAAAGGTTGCTATGTACTGTCATTGTGCAGTTTAATGCATACAAGCAAAATTACATTTCTTGCTATTATATACAAGTGTATATATACAGTTATGGGTCTGACCAGGTTCACACCAAATAGCCTAGCATGAGTATAAAGTATTAACAGTTCTAAACTTAGATATCTAAGAGTACAGTAGTCAACATTTACACTATGCTTCATGGTTATTTCCTCTCACGGCCATTTAAAGGAAGGATTTATCAAATATCTATTGTGTAGCTATTTGTGTACACATATATTGAATATTGGGGATTGCAGTCATTGTATTTACTAGAGTAGATATCGCCAACTTTCCAAGTGTATAGCCTCTACTGTTACCTTAGTAATGATCCTCATTATGTGTCATCTAGTGAAAAGCAAGCCAGGCTAAGTTTGGTATGCTAGACGTTCAACAAACCTGACATGAAGTTCACAAAGTCTCAGGGTTGGTAACTGGTTACTGATTATTTGCTTGTAAACAGGCTCCTATGCTTAGCCTTTCAGATATATAGATGTAGTGTAATAATTCAAACAACTCAAAAGTATAAAATAATAAAATGCACTTAGGTTCATTTAAATAAATATTACAGATGATAAAACAGGTAAATTCAAAATAGGTGAACTTAGCTAGTTTTGTTTTCCTCCCAGATATACAGTATATCTTTCATATTGTGGGAGCTCCTTGTCTCCTGCTGGAAACTAGTTAAAACTAGTTTCGCCAAAAAATGGTTGCAGGAGACAAAGTATGTGAGCATATGGTAAGGTCAGAGATCACAGCTAACAGGAATATATATATATATATATATATATATATATATATATATATATACATATATATTCCAGGACTATTGTATATTTTTTAGCAAATCTTTTAAATGGACATAAGCAGCATAACTAAGTTATACATCTTTGAACTCTCAAGTCAAAAGTGTTGGATACTGTTTCATTGTTTCACCCATATAATTGTTCATGTGCACTCCCAAACATATAAAAAGCCACATACTGCTAGCCAGAAATTGTATTGAATGCTGAGTCTATTTTTTCCAAATTAATTACCAATTTGAACAGACTTATCTGTATATCTTCTGTCCCTCCTAGATTGGAAGCTCCAAGGAGCAGGGCCCTCAAATCCCTCTTGTATTGAACTGTATTGTTGCTGTATTGTCTCCCACTATAATGTAAAGCGCTGAGCAAACTGTTGGCGCTATATAAATCCTGTATAATAATAAAAATTCAAGTTAAAAAAAACCCAGAAAAACAAAAAAGCATTACTTTCTGTATTATGTGCTTGTATCACATTTTCCTCTAATGTGATGATGAATGCTAACGTTCACATGTTCAGTATACAGTGTTCCCTCGCCACTTCGCGCTTCATGTTTTGCGGCTTCAGTGCTTCGCGGGTCAGCAGCCACATTGTGGAAAGGAGCGTTGATGCACGAGAGAGAAGGATCCCTGCCTGTCAACCAAAGAGATGAGTTGACTCAGAGTACTGTACATACCACGGGCTTTCCGGTGTGACATCGACCAATAAGAGTATGGATTTATCCCTGTGAGCATCATTGCAGCCTCACAGTGTTGTGTTGGTGATAACTTTTTTTATTAATTAAGCCCTTATAATGCCGCCTAAGCGCTGTGCCCCTGCCAAAGCTTCCTCCGGGGCGCCCAAGAGGAAGAAGATGATGACCATCAGCGAAAAAGTGAAACTTTTAGATATGATCAAAGAGGGCAGAAGTTATGCATCTGTGGCACGCCATTACGGGGTGAATGAATCTACAGTGCGGTACATCAAGAAAGCGGAAGCAAACATCCGCAAAACTGCTTCAATAATCTTCAACAAAGAAGCAAAGCGTGTGATAACTCCGCGTAATAACAGAATTGTGAAAATGGAAGGTGCACTGGCATTGTGGATTGCTGATTGCAGGAAAAAGACAGTGAGTGTGGACACTAATATGATCAGGACAAAGGCCAAAGCTCTCTACGACCAAATCTTGCCCGATGACGACAATGAAGAGGCTGAAGAAGGTGCTGACGAACCTCAAGCCAGTGCTAGCGCTGCCAGGAGTGATTCGCCTCCTCGCGGACGAGGCTTTTCAGCCAGCAAAGGCTGGTTCGAAAAATTTCAAAAAAGATACGGCCTCAGAAATGTGCTTCTGTATGGTGAGGCTTCCTCTGCTGACAACGATGCTGCTTGTCGTTACGTGGAGGAAAAGTTTCCTAACCTCATTAGTGAGGGAGGCTACCTTCCTGAACAAGTTTTTAACATGGATGAAACAGGCCTTTTTTGGAAGAGGATGCCTTCACGTACATTCCTCTTCAAGGACGAAGGAAGAGGCCAGGCTTCAAGGCTCACAAAGACCGTGTGACTGTCATCATGACTGGCAATGCTGCAGGTTTTATGCTTAAGCCAGGCCTTATGTTAGGAATGGACTGGCCAGCAATGGTGGGACTCACCTGCCTTTTGATCTGCAGTACCAGGGCTGGCCAGCGGGTGCTCCCAGCAATCAGAGACTCAACCTTTCAGCCAGCTAACACCTGGAACTGATGATACTGGGGTATTTAAGGGATGGCCAGACTTGCAGACTCTGCCTTGGTGTTGTGTTTGTCCTGGGCCCTGTATCTGTCCTGCATCCTGTTTCTGTTCCTTTGCTGACTTCTCCTGCTCTGATCCTGGCTTGTGACCTGACCATCCTTCTGTCTGACCCTCTGTACTACGCTGCTTGCTACCTGCTGAACCTGGCCTGTGACCCCGACCATTCTCTGCTTGCTCCCCCTGTACCTACCTGCCCATTGATATTGACCCGGCCTGCCTGACGACGCTTGCTTGTATATACTGTTATCTGTGGGTGGTTGGTTTGGTTTGTTTGCACTGTGTTATGTTTTAGTATTGCACTGCATTTATGTTTGTATTGTTAGTGTTAATAAATTGTATTGTTTATCACATATCTGAAGTCTGCGTTTCCCTGCATCAGTCACACACCTCTGGTCATACCTGGGAGCCCTGACATTACACCAAGGCCAATCCTGACCAGAAGTGGCTGCACAGGGAAGCCATCTTGGCTTGTTGATGGGAAGGATGGATCTGGATGAGGTTGAATATTTATATCTGCTAGTGTTTGATGACAGGGAGTATGCTTATCAGACTCTGAAGGAGTATATACCCGGGATGAACTGCTAGAATGTATACGGCTCGCTCATGTTCTAGTAGATCAGGGCATAGAGTTCTCTGAGGTGCAGCCATTGATTGAAGTTTGTGCTGAATTGGTTTCATCTGGTTCCCCCGAATGCAGGGATGAATTTTTGCCACCATTTAGTGCAGACCAGGTAGAGTCCCTGGTGTGGTTATTAGAGGATGATGTGGGTTACTTTCTGGAGCGTTATTCCACATGTTCACCACAGGTACTAAGAGACTGTATAAACGCAGTGCAGTCATTGACCAGACAGGCTTTGTGTAAGCTCAGCTTTGTTCAACCCCTACTGCAGACATGGACAGATTTGTTGCACCCAGCCTCAGTCAGCTTACAAAGACCCAGTCCTGCTTCTAATCTATTTCCTCAAAACTCTATTCCTGCATTCCCAACAGCTCCTCCTGCCCTGCTATCTACCGCATGTCAGTACCCTGTTCCCACTCGCTGCACCTATCCTGCCTTTAACCCTGTAAAAGAGCCCTCTGTAGCAACCGCTCCCTCTCCTGTTCCATCCTCCAGTTCTTCTCTGTCTCCAGCTGCTCCATTCGTTTGCAGACCTGCGTTTACTTGCAGTGCTCCAGTAGTTAAAACCAGAAAAAAGCGAAAATTCTTTCCAACCAATACCATCCTGCCAGTATCCAAACCGGTGAGCCTGCCTTCCGTGGTTCAGCCTGAAGCCTCTCTTCAGCCTGATGCCGGTACGCAGCCTGATGCCTCTCTTCAGCCTGATGCCTGTACGCAGCCTGATGCCTCTCTTCAGCCTGAAGCCTCTACTGATGCCTCTACTCGGCCTGAAGCCTCTACTCGGCCTGATGCCTCTACTCGGCCTGATGCCTCTACTCGGCCTGATGCCTCTACTCGGCCTGAAGCCTCTACTCGGCCTGATGCCTCTACTCGGCCTGAAGCCTCTACTCGGCCTGAAGCCTCTACTCGGCCTGATGCCTCTACTCGGCCTGAAGCCTCTACTCGGCCTGATGCCTCTACTCGGCCTGAAGCCTCTACTCGACCTGAAGCCTCTACTCGGCCTGAAGCCTCTACTTGGCCTGATGCCTCTACCCAGCATGATGAACTGATCCAGCCTGACGATCCTATTAGGCCAGTTGACTCGATGCCCGCTGTTGATCCAGATGATCCGGTACCTGATCCGGTGCCCGCTGTCGAGCCAAATGACCTGATGCCTGGTGACCCAGTGCCCGCTGTCATACCTGGTGACCCGATGCCCGCTGTCGAGCCAGACAATCCGGTACCTGATGACCCGGTGCTCACTGTCGTGCCTGTTGACTCGGAGCCCACTGCCTTGCCAGATGACGCGGTGCCCGCTGTCAAGCCAAATGACCTGATGCCTGGTGACCCAGTGCCCGCTGTCCAGCCAGACGATCCAATGTCTGACCCAGTGCCCGCGGTCATACCAGTTGACTCGGAGCCCACTGCCTTGCCAGATGACGCGGTGCCCGCTGTCGAGCCAGACAATCCGGTACCTGATGACCCCCGGTGCTCACTGTCGTGCCTGTTGACTCGGAGCCCACTGCCTTGCCAGATGACGCGGTGCCCGCTGTCAAGCCAAATGACCTGATGCCTGGTGACCCAGTGCCCGCTGTCCAGCCAGACGATCCAATGTCTGACCCAGTGCCCGCGGTCATACCAGTTGACTCGGAGCCCACTGCCTTGCCAGATGACGCGGTGCCCGCTGTCGAGCCAAATGACCTGATGCCTGGTGACCCGATGACCGCTGTCCAGCCAGACGATCCAATGTCTGACCCAGTGCCAGCGGTCATCCCAGTTGACTCGGAGCCCACGGTTGTGCCTGGTGACTCGGTGCCCGTCGCCCCGCCTGGGGGCCTGAGACCTGTCGTTCCGCCTGGGGGTCCGGCGCCCGCCGCTCCGCCTGAGGGCCCGAGACCTGTCGCTCCATCTGGGGGTCCGGCGCCCGCCGCTCCGCCTGAGGGTCCGAGACCTGTCGCTCCGCCTGGGGCTCCGGCGCCCGCCGCTCCGCCTGAGGGCCCGAGACCTGTCGCTCCATCTGGGGGTCCGAGACCTGTCGCTCCGCCTGGGGGTCCGGCGCCCGCCGCTCCGCTGAGAGGGCCCGAGACCTGTCGCTCCGCCTGGGGGTCCGGCGCCCGCCGCTCCGCCTGAGGGCCCGAGACCTGTCGCTCCACCTGGGGGTCCGGCGCCCGCCGCTCCGCCTGAGGGCCCGAGACCTGTCGCTCCACCTGGGGGGTCCGTCGCGGCGCCCCGCCTGCTCGAGACCTGTCGCTCCATCTGGGGGTCCGGCGCCCGCCGCTGGCCCGAGACCTGTCGCTCCTCCTGGGGGTCCGGTGCCCGCCGCTCCCGCCTGAGGGCCGAGACCTGTCGCTCCGCCTGGGGGTCCGGCGCCCGCCGCTCCGCCTGAGGGCCCGAGACCTGTCGCTCCATCTGGGGGTCCGGCGCCCCGCCGCTCCGCCTGAGGGCCCGAGACCTGTCGCTCCGCCTGGGGGTCCGGCGCCCGCCGCCCCGCCTGGGGGCACGATGCCCGTCGCCCCGCCTGGGGGCACGATCCCTGTCGCCCCCCCTGGGGGCACGATGCCTGTTGCCCCGCCTGGGGGCACGATGCCTGTCGCCGCCCGGGGGCACGATGCCTGTCGCCCCGCCCGGGGCCCGGTGCCTGCTGCTCCGCCCGGGGGCCCGGTGCCTGCTGCTCCGCCCGGGGGCCCGGTGCCTGCTGCTCCGCCCGGGGGCCCGGTGCCTGCTGCTCCGCCCGGGGGCCGGTGCCTGCTGCTCCGCCGGGGGCCCGATGCCATGTCGCCCCGCCCGGGGGCCCCGGTGCCTGCTGCTCCGCCGGGGGCCCGATGCATGTCGCCCCGCCCGGGGGCCCCGTGCATGTCGCCCCGCCCGGGGGGCCCGGGTGCCTGCTGCTCCGCCCGGTTGGCCCGGTGCCTGCTGCTCCGCCCGGGGGCCCGGTGCCTGCTGCTCCGCCTGGTGGCCCGCTGCCTGCTGCTTCGCCTGGTAAACCGATGTGCCTCTGCCCGGAGTGCTGCCCGATGTGCCTCTGCCCGGAGTGCTGCCCGATGTGCCTCTGCCCGGAGTCCTGCCCGATGTGCCTCTGCCCGGAGTCCTGCCCGATGTGCCTCTGCCCGATGTGCCTCTGCCCGATGTGCCTCTGCCCGATGTGCCTCTGCTCGATGTGCCTCTGCCCGATGTGCCTCTGCCCAATGTGCCTCTGCCCGGTGTGCCTCTGCTCGATGTGCCTCTGCCCGGAGTCCAGCCCGGTGTGCCTCTGCCCGGAGTCCAGCCCGGTGTGCCGCTGCCCGGAGTCCTGCCCGGTGTGCCAGTCTTTGATATCCCCCAGTTACCAGACCCGGGCGGTGGAACATTTTGCCCAGCTAGGACTGTTTGGAGCGTCCTGAGGCCGCTCCTTGAGGGGGGGGTACTGTTAGGAATGGACTGGCCAGCAATGGTGGGACTCACCTGCCTTTTGATCTGCAGTACCAGGGCTGGCCAGCGGGTGCTCCCAGCAATCAGAGACTCAACCTTTCAGCCAGCTAACACCTGGAACTGATGATACTGGGGTATTTAAGGGATGGCCAGACTTGCAGACTCTGCCTTGGTGTTGTGTTTGTCCTGGGCCCTGTATCTGTCCTGCATCCTGTTTCTGTTCCTTTGCTGACTTCTCTCCTGCTCTGATCCTGGCTTGTGACCCTGACCATCCTTCTGTCTGACCCTCTGTACTACGCTGCTTGCTACCTGCTGAACCTGGCCTGTGACCCCGACCATTCTCTGCTTGCTCCCCCTGTACCTACCTGCCCATTGATATTGACCCGGCCTGCCTGACGACGCTTGCTTGTATATACTGTTATCTGTGGGTGGTTGGTTTGGTTTGTTTGCACTGTGTTATGTTTTAGTATTGCACTGCATTTATGTTTGTATTGTTAGTGTTAATAAATTGTATTGTTTATCACATATCTGAAGTCTGCGTTTCCCTGCATCAGTCACACACCTCTGGTCATACCTGGGAGCCCTGACACCTTATTTATAAAGCCAAAAAACCACGGGCATTAAAAAACAAAAATATGGCCCTGTTGCCCGTGTTCTGGATGCATAACTCCAAGGCCTGGATAACGAAAGCTCTGACCCTTGAATGGTTCCTCCATTGCTTCATTCCCCAGGTGAAGCTGTATCTGGCTGAAAAGGGCCTCCCCTTTAAGGTCCTTCTCCTGATGGACTGTGCAGGAGGCCATGCAACGGACCTGCAATATGACGGTGTGCAGATAGAGTTTCTGCCCCCGACCACTACATCTCTAATTCAGCCGATGGATCAAGGTGTCATTCGTGCCTTTAAGGCACTCTACACTCGCTCCACGATGGAGAGCCTCATCTCGGCAGTTGACGATGCCAATGATGAATTCACCTTGAAAGCATACTGGCGCAGTTACGACATTGCCTCATGTTTGTCTAATATTCAGCAAGCATTAAAGGACATGAAGAGTGAGACCATAAAATCTAGCTGGAAGAAATTATGGCCGAACGTGGTGCACAACTATCCAGGCTTCACTCCTGAAGAAGCTCATCACTCAGCGGTGGAGAAGGCGGTGAGGCTGGCTCACATCATAAGGAATGAAGGATTTGTCGACATGACAGAAGAAGACATCAGCGCCCTTATCGATTGCCACTCGGACCCACTGAGCGATGAAGACCTCCTTGAGATGACAAAGTCTGCAAGTGAGGAAGAAAACGAAGAGGAAGATGAAGAAGAAACTGAAAAGCGTGGCCTTACCCTGGAGAATCTGCAACAATTGTGCAACATGGCAAGAGCGATGCAACAATTTTGCACAAGACATTGACGACAATATGGTTCGAGCTGTCGAGTTCAGCAATCGCGTTGACGGGGTTATGTCCTTGTACAGGGGAATTTTGAAGGAAAAGAAAAAACAAAGACAACAACTACCCATCACACCATGTTTCTCTCCAAAGTAAAGGCCCCGGCTCTACCGTCAGCGCCTCCAGCAGAAGAGTCTCCCAGTCAAGTGAGAGCCTCTCCTCCACCACAAACACAAGACTCTTCGCCTCTCTCAGAAAGCAATGTTGATTAATGTTTATTACTGTATAAGGTTTTGTAATTAACCCTATTGTAATTAGCACTGACACGTTTAAGTAAATACGTATACTGTACAGTACTGTTGTAATTTTTGTCTTAAATGAGTAAAGTATGAATACTGTTTACATATTTAAAACATTCTTGTACAGTACCCGCATACACAAAAATTCCTAGGGGCAAATACTACTTCGCGGTTTTTTCAGCTTTCGCGGAAGGTTCTGGTCCCCATTAACCGCGAAAAACGAGGGATCACTGTACTCTCCAATTTCAATTGTCTATACACACATACAAAACAATAGTCACAAAAAGTGGTAATTTTACAAAGTCCAAAACAAATAAATTCAGCTGCAAACATTTTGAGTAATTTGTCAAGGTCTGAAATATATGTTTGAGAAAATAAGAAAATCTTTTTAATTGATGGAAGTGATAAACTGGACAGGAGACGTGAACCAAGCAAATTATTTAGGAAGAACATAGTTAGATCACTCACCTCTTACTGCTTTGGGCTACTCAGATATTTTTGTGACATTATCGAATGAGGCACAATGTAGCTAAATTATAGTAACAGAAGAAACAAAGTTAATCTGAGGATGTGTGCCACAAAGGTCATTTTATTAGTAGCAAGTGAAATAAATGAAGTCATGCTGACTGACTTTTCTAATGCTACTTACATTATTTTACTTTGACCAGTGACACACATATTATGTCCGCATAGCCCTAGGACAGATGCAGTAGTGGTTGTGTACCTTCTACTGACCTAAGCTTGTAACAGCACACAATGTATGTTATGAATTGTTTTATCTTCATGATTCCAGTTGTATTTGAAGCTGTTTTCTTGTGCTCCATTAACCTAGTAGGGAGCACTGTACCATCAATTCAGGTGTCCAAAAGGCATAAATAATCCCAAAATTGATAGCTCCTAAGTGAATATATGTACACCATTTCTATGCCATCAGTGCTTTACTATATATCTACTGCTTAAAAATATGAACATCACAATTATATTTCTTCACATGCCAGCAAACACATCCAGGCACGCTGATTGTGTGTTTTATCAATATATGAAGAATGACTTGTCATTTAAAAATCATAAGGGAACTTACAATTTTCCTTTCTGCCAAAGACTATGAAAAATAGTCTTTGAAAAAAAACCCTGAAAAATAATGTTCGAAACAATAGTTGGGTAATCAAACTAGAAAAAATAAGATATACACTCCCATGTGAGTGCACTGATAATATTCAGAAACAATCAGTATGAATATGTTATGTTTCTAAATTTTACTGTAAATTGCTATGCACAGTATTTGGTAATAGGCACCCTAAGGTGGAATGCTGTCACACAGAGATTTCATAGACCCTGTGTATGTTATGATTACAGGTTATTTGCTTTCTTTTTCTTCCAGCTGAACAAAGTGGTGGGGCAGTAAGAGAAAGGGAAGTATATACTGCTGGGGAGGGTTAAATTAAAGTGGACCATTTGTTTAGCTCTGCATATGCCTGCATATGTCTTAAAGCTCCTCTCAACATCTTCTTTCGTTTAGTTTTGGGACCTAAAGGACACTTT